CTATGTATGCAGTCTGTCACCCCACTTGCTACAGAGTATATTTTATATGGGGACATTAGTTTGGTTGTATTGTACCTTTGTAGTTTGCAAAATAGTCTTAAAAAAACAACTTGAAAAAGAATCGGGATAAAAATCATGAATTGTGATTTCTTTTTTTTTTTTCCATATCACCCACCCCTAAATGCCACTAATGCATACTCCACATGTCTTAATTCCATCTCTGTTTAGTTCAGATAAAAAATAAAAATTAATTAAATTTTTTTTTTTTTTTTTTTAAATCGCTGTTTCAGGTTTATGTAGGTCTACAGTTCAAAATTCATGTTTAACTGAATTTTACTAAAAAAGTTAGTAAACACAAGTACATCTTATTAAACCATTTATTTTCATCACCAATTATCAGAACAGTTTCCTCAGGCAGTTTCTGATGCATTTTGGAAACCGGAGATGATCCCCTGGTCTAATACGCCGCCTGTCTCAATTGTATTCACCATTCCCCACCAATGTCAAGTGTAAACCTACATCCTTGTAACAAGATCCATTTTCTTTTTCTTTTTGCTTGAACCATGTCACAGGTCCATCTGATCTGTTCATTTTATTTAATTATTTTAATTATTAGATTACATTTACATTTATTTATAGTAAAATATAGGGTTTCTCTTCAGTAATATTTATGTACATCTAATGGCATATGCACATTTGCAAATTACAAATTTGTCAAAGAAAAAGGAGTTAAAGTGATTAACTTGTGTACAGTAAATGTAGTCAACTGGTACATTTAGCTACAAATAATCATTGCACCCAGGGGTCTTCAAATCAAATTTTGCTTCATTGAGGGTTTACTGGCCATGCGTTTGACTATTTCATAATGCTTTTAAATATAGTTATTACTCTTACTTTGTTTGGGGAAAAACATTAAAAAAAGTGTGCATAACTGAGTGAATTCTCTTTAACTGAACCTGTAAACAGCTCTGCCACATCCTGTGTCATCTCTCAAGTGTAGTCTTTGATCCTATGCTTTAACCACTATAATGACGTCTTTTTCAGTAGTGCATAGCAATATGGCTGTTCAAACACTTCCAATGGCTTCACTTCCTGTGTCTGACATGAAAGCAGTTTAAAACACATGCAATCCAGTTCAGTGTATTAAACACAAACTTTGAACAGCTCTGCAGAGTTTAGCTTTAACCCTTACTTAAACGCACCTAATCAAAGTCAAACTGATCAAGTCTTCCAAACTTGTTTGAAGCATACAGGTAGTCTGTTGAAGCAGGGAAACGGAGTTTGACAACCACAGGCTTAGACAATACACTCAAATATATGAGCATAATGTCGCTAACCTTGCGCGTGAAGTTCGATGTTGTTGATGCTGGTCTTTTAATCCTGGCTTTGTAAATGGCTTATCGACAAGATTCCTTTTCGTCGTTCTGTATTTGGCGCGCTTCTGGAATCACTTGAAGTCAACTCTGCTACAAGTCCACCATAATAGTAACCATGGATGTGCAAACAATAAAACATTTGTTTCGATTTTGGCCTCCACGACGATTATGAAAAACAACAATCGAGATAAAATGGTTTTTGTGTCATATGCTTTCCCCTTTCCAGCAGTTTGCATTCCTTATCAAAATAAAATCATATATATTTACTTTTGCACCATAAAACATGCTTTATTTAATGTCATTTTTATTACAAATTGGTCACCTTAGAATTAAAAGGTTCTATCTGACATTTTTTTTATCAAAACTGAGTTATTGACATATTCTTAATAAATGACAACTTATTTACATTATATGATGATTTTATGTTTTTTACTTCTTAAGATTTTTTTATTTAACAAAACAAAAAAGGTTTTATCTACAAAGCCGAACTCTAGCTTGGTTCTTTAAGGTTCTGTCCGTGAGCCAATCAGCATTTTTAATGCACACACGAGGACCAATCAGGATCAGCTTTCTTTGTCATTTCGCCAGACTGCTCTATTGACAGCGGTAAACACCAGAAAGACAAAATCACACAAAAGTCGGCTAATCAATGCTGCACAACACAAAATTGAGATGTGTGTAAATGTGATGATTTTATAAGCATTTCTTGACATTGAGATTCATTCATTTTCTTTTCGCCTCAGTCCATTTATTAATCTGGGGTCGCCACAGTGGAATGAACCGCCAATTATCCAGCATATGTTTTACGCAGTGGATGCCCTTTTAGCTGCAATCCATCACTGGGAAACACCCATACACACTCAATCACACAGATACACTATATGGCCAATTTTACCTTACCCAATTCACCTGTACCACATGTCTTTGGACTTGTTGGGGAAACTGGAGCACCCAGAGAAAACCCACGCAAAAACAGGGAGAACATGCAAACTCTCCACAGAAATGCCAACTGACCCAGCCGAGGCTCGAACCAGGGACCTTCTTACTGTGAGGCGATTATGCTACCCATTGCACCACCACGTCACCGACATTAAGATGAAATGTTACATTTTACATTGTTGAAAAAGAAATGAATATTTAAAAATTTGTTTACAAATAGTCAGTGAAACACTTTGTGTTTATTAAACTCATTTGGTCATTGTCTGTTTCTTTTGCCTTGAAGGGCAAATACTTAATTCATGGGGCACATAATTCAATAAATATAATTCAGTAATTCATATAAAGCATGAAATCTAATAAATATGAAGTTATTAACTAGATAATATTAACATCTGCACTGAACAAAAACATTTAGCACAGCCTTTTATTAATTTGTCCAAAACATGAAAAAAAAACATTATAGAAAGCAAAAACTGTACTTTCTTAAGATCAACATATTGTTACAACTTTCATTTATACATTTTTTGATTGTAATGCTTCTGTGAATGATCTGCTAGATAGAACCTTATAATTCCAAGTGGAAAATGACTATTCAGAATTAGAAGGTTCTATTACCATTTTTTTTACTTCAATTTGCAAATGTAAGAGAACTTTTGATAATTTACATTTAGAGTACCCTTAGGCTCTCTGTCATGTTAATGTATAAATGAGAACTGTTACACACATGTTGTTTGCTATATGGAATGCAAAAACTTTGAAGCTCAATATCTCGAAATCATTCAGAACACAGATAGAACCTTAAAATTCTAAGGTGACGAATTGTATTTGATTGATTTATTTATTAAAGTTTAATCATTAAGTGTGAAAAAGAACATGTGCTGTTCTGTTTGCATGCTCAGAGAAGGAAAAGAACATGAACATGTTTTAGCTTAAATGGCATAAATGGCAATATTACTTGCAAAATTGTGTTCAGATGTGGTGGTAAGTGATTATGCACAAATAAGCCCTCAGTAAACAGTAGTCTTTATTTTTTTTGTCATAAAATTCTTTTAAATGTAATGTTACATTTAAAGTTTACATTTGGGGGCGGTCAGATTAGGTCCCTACCAATATCAAAAGCAAATCTAAGCCCTTGTTAGTCCAAAGATCCAAGTTAACAAAGCAGCATGGTATAAACCTGCTTCACCACTAAATTATCTTACCACAGACGTAATAAATTACTGCTCCTCTAAAATCAGTGCCTAATTATGAACACTGAATATAGGACTTTCAAATAATATACAACAAAAGTCATACTTTAACAAATGCTACAACACAAAACAATCATGATTTGAATTTGGGTGTCAGAGTTCTCCTATTCAAATGAGACCAAAGTTTGTTTTAATGCAAATATACCTGCCAAGTCTCAAATTAGCATTAGCAAAGAGCATAAAAAATTAAAATAGACTAAATGTATTAGTTTTCTAATACTACGGGACAATAACCATTTTTTAAGGGGTTTGGAAATGACAAGGTTTTAAACCACTACAATTTTCTGCTATACCGTTCCTACGGTGCATTTTTTATTTAAATTTGTTTAAATTATTTTAAATTGTAAAGAAATCTGTTTTTGAAACAAATGAAGACCGCAGAAGTTTATCATACCATCAAAATCTCATACCGGCCTATGAGTAGAAAAAGCATAACCAGTGCAGCAGGTTAAAGTCCAGTACAATGAAAACCCGGTGATGTGCAATTACTGGGTAAACTCCACATGAAGTTTAGCTGAAACATAATAAGTGATGTTTCGTAAACAAATTTTGGGAGGAGCATGCGCAGATGTTATAGCATTAAATACGTCATTGACAATTATACTATTATCCAATCCATTCTTGACCAAACCCCTATATACCAAAGCTGTCTTACTTGCAGTATCTCACAACTCCTCTTAAGACACATCACCTCTTAAGCATTACACTCACAGGGGGAGCGTTCTGGGATGGCTAGATACTTCACTCGAATCCCAACTCCTCTCTATTCCCTGATAAGCGGAATAACACGAGCTGGGGTGTCTTCCCCGAGCTCAGAGCCCTCTCCCCGGACAGCACGCCAAATACGCCTTATTCTTAAACATCTGTAAGTGTGAACTCGTGAAATTAGCCAATTATCAGTTGAATATGAATTAAAGCAAATGTTCAGAGGTCAGAGATTTTCTGGAATGTGCATAGAAACTTTGTAAAAGTGAACATACACCAGAATAAATTGTAATTTTTTTTTAAAATAATGATTATGGCTCATTTAAAGTGGTTTAAATTAACTCAATATTTAATTGAAATGTGTTTACTTAAAGCTGTGAACATTCTTTTATCAAGTTTGTTTTTTAAAATCACAACTTCTGCATGAGAAGTGGCGTATGCATATTTCTGCCCCCTTTTGTGTGTATGCTAGGTGAGGTTTATATATACGCATGGGCTTAAGGGATAAAAATGTATAAATAAAAAGTCAAAATACTTCCTCCCATCTCAAAAGAACAAGCTGAAACTCTAAGTTGGCTTCCTCAAAATATGTACAGTAACAGTGTGGGTTTGTGCTGCTTTCTGTTTAAGCACCAAGATCATGCTGACATGAACATTGAGCCAGAATTATTTTGACAGCAGATAGAAAGTACACATAAAACACATGAATAAATGAAAAAGACGACATGGCTTATTTCCATTCTTTTAATTAATAAACATTATTCCTTGCATTAAGACAGATCAAACATTCACTTTGATTATCAAATCTAGTCTAGACTCATCCAGATTTGCATTCATTAATAAAGATGACATCTGCATTAATTTTCAGACAAATAATAAAAACATCATTTAATTCGTCATTACAAATAAGATCAACATGTAATAAGGCTTTCGTACGATTGAAGGAATAAAAAGGTGTTCTAAGGCAAACATTGCTTCCGGCTTATTACTTTCAGTAGTCATAAATAAATAAGAATCGAAACATGGAGTTGAAGATCTTTACAAATACAGTAGGAGCTCACAGTGGATTGTGCTTTTAGTTTAGGTCAACATGTCGCAGAGACAACAGCAACACAGAGCCGCCCAACATGTGGCTAGACAAGCCTGCTCACCGGATTGGTCATCACGTCTGCCCTGCTCCACAACATACACTGGAAAAAACACACACACACACAAAGATCATATTACACCAGTCAAATATTGTCCCAGTTTGCTGAATATTTACACACACCTTTTCTGACATGCTTGTTAAAATCTATAAAAGAATTAGAGAATAATAAATTGTATTCGATTTTGGATTACAAAAACATCTTGTTGACAAATGGTTGCAACTAATTCATATTTAAAAGAACATTTAGCTTATATTTTTGAGCTGTAATTATTGTAATAATTATTGTGGCTTTAAATATGGTCAAAAAGTTACATGCGTCATTGGATTACACCTGTTTCATCAAAAAAAATAAAAATAAAAATGTTTTAATAGAATAATTTGCCCATAATTAAAACAACAGCAAATGACGCAGTTAATCATGACTTAATCAATTTTTAATCAATATATTGGATTAGATCAAGTGCATCGGCTGCAATCAGCCTGTCTGAGCAGACCAAAGAAAGTGACAGTTGACGTTCCGCCACAACATAGTGACCAAGACCGGATAAGTCCTTAGGTAAAAACAGCATTTTCTTAGCATACTTTTCAAACTACAGCTGAACAATTCATTATAAATTAAGTAAGTGACATTTTAAATCTCTCACTTTTGTATGTTGTAGTGTTGTATTATACCACAGAAACTGGTAGTTTTTGCTTTGCTCTGGCTTTTTCAGGATTAATTACTGTGAAATCCCGATTGCAACAGAGAAATGCTGAAAAATCTCTGTAGATTGATGTCATTTTATGCCATTCAGCTTTATAAGCTTATAAGGTGAGCATCACTTTAGACATTACACTAGAGAATCGTTAAAATACTAGCTCTAAAGTGACGTTTGTGAAGTAGAAATGGTTTCTGCTGTTCTGACTGTCAGCTGCCGATGTGAATAAATGGCGGAAGAAAGCTTAAACAGCTTAAAGTGACATTTAAAGGCTTAACTAGGTTAGTTAGGTTAACTAGGCTGGTTACGGTAATTAGGCAAGTTACTGTATAACCAAGGTTTGCTCTGTAAACAATCAAAAAAAATATATAGCTAGGGCTAATAATTTTGGCCTTAAAATGGTGTTTAAAAAATTAAAAACAGCTTTTATTGTAGCCGAATTAAAACAAATAAGACTTTCTCCAGAAGAAAAAAAGATTATTAGACATACTGTGAAAATTTCCTTGCTTTGTTAAACATCATTTGGGAAATATAAAAAAATAATAATAATAATAAATAAATAAATCAAAAAGGGGCTTATAATTCTGACTTCAACATATATATATACACAGTTGAAGTCAGAATTATTTGCCCCCCTGAATTATTAGCGGCCTTGTTTATTTTTTCCCCATTCTCTTTTTAATGGAGGGAAGATTGTTTCAGCACATTTCTGAACATAATAGTTTTTAAAAAATTATTTTTAACAACTGATTTATTTTATCTTTGCCATGATGACTTAATAATATTTTACTTGATATTTTTCAAGACACTTCTATACAGCTTAAAGTGACATTTAAAGGCTTAACTAGGTTAATAAGGTGAACTAGGCAGGTTAGGCTAATTAGGCAAGTTATTGTATAGCGATGGTTTGTTCTGTAGATTATAAAAAAAATATATAGCTAGAGCTAATAATTTTGTCCCAAAAATGTTTTTAAAAAAATTAATAACTGCTTTTATTCTAGCCGAAATAAAACAAATAAGACTTTCTCTAGAAGAAAAAAATATTATCAGACATACTGTGAAAATTTCCTTGCTCTGTTAAAAATCATTTGGGAAATATTTAAAAAAGAAAATAAAAATCAAAAGGGGGATAATAATTCTGACTTCAACTGTGTGTGTGTGTGTGTGTGTGTGTGTGTGTGTGTGTGTGTGTATATACATAGCTGATTTTAAATGACATGTTTTCAAAGTGGTCCCAGAGGGTCAAGTCCTTCAGACAAAGAACTGTGTTTGGTATTTAATTAAAATGCTATTCAGGTCAAATGAGCTACCCAATTATCATAAACTAAAACAAAAAAAAAAAAAAACACATCAGTAAAAGTATAATTAACACACAAATTAAATGACTTTGTGACTTTTGCAGAAACTATGGGTGTTACGTTTCCAGTAGCTGTCCTATCTGTGTTTTGTTAAATCTGATTTTGAGGAAGTTTGACTGAACAATGAATATTTAAATGAGAGTATGCTCAACATGTCATGAAACAAGGCTCTTACCAGTGTTAGTGGGAGGTCCTGGTTGTGGGTACCCCTGGTATCCTGGCTGTGCTGTATAGGGGCCAGGGGGTCCAGGAGGGTAGTTTGGGTAACCCTGTGCTGGGTATCCTTGCGCTGGGTATCCCTGAGGTGGGTATCCCTGAGCTGGGTATCCCTGAGTTGGGTATCCCTGAGCTGGGTATCCCTGAGCTGGGTATCCTGGAGCGGGACCAGGCCCCGTGTAAGCAGGAGGCTGCTCGTAATTCATCTATACACTGCAGCTCACAACACGAGGCAACCTGACAGAAAGCAATGACAAAATTAGTAAACTTCCTGTGGCAGTTTCAGTGTTTTAAGCTTACATGGACATGGACATTTGGAATTATACAAGGAAGTATACAAGTCAGCAAAATATATGTAGATGTACAAATGGTTTTGAAGACTTGATGAAAATTGTTTTACATATTGTGGCTTTAAGATTTTCAGCAATTACAATTAAAACTACAAGTGTAATTACCATAATTTACCATGTTTGTTCCGTTTCATCTGAATAACTACTGTTTCATTGGATTTTTGGAGGCTAATGATCATTAGGGCTGCATTTCTTTTGTGAGATATAATTTCATATTTTACATATTGCTGAATTTTTTGAACTATTCAGAAATAAATCCATGCAATTTTTTTTATATACTTAATATGCCCTATTAAGAACACTGAAAACAGATGTGCTGCTTATTTTTTATTTATTTGATGAACAAACTTCCAGGATTAAAATAAACAAATAAATAATTAAATAAGTAAGTAAGTAAGTAAGTAAGTAAGTAAGTAAGTAAGTAAGTAAGTAAGTAAGTAAGTAAGTAAGTAAGTAAGTAAGTAAGTAAGTAAGTAAGTAAGTAAGTAGGTAGGTAAGTAAGTAAGTAAGTAAGTAAGTAAGTAAGTTAAAAGTAAGTAAGTAAGTAAGTAAGTAAGTAAGTAAGTAAGTAAGTAAGTAAGTAAGTAAATAAATAAATAAGCGGGCGAAGCAGTGGCGCAGTAGGTAGTGCTGTCGCCTCACAGCAATAAGGTCGCTAGGTCGGTGGTTCGAGCCTCAGCTCAGTTGGCGTTTCTGTGTGGAGTTTGCATGTTCTCGCTGCATTCCCGTGGGTTTCCTCTGGGTGCTCCGGTTTTCCCCACAGACCAAAGACATACGGTACAAGTGAATTGGTCAAGCTAAATTGTCCGTAGTGTATGAATGTATGTGTGTGTGTGTGTGCGCGTGTGTTTGTGTGTGTGGATGGATGTTTCCCAGAGATGGGTTGCGGCTGGAAGGGCATCCGCTGCGAAAAAAACTTGCTGGATAAGTTATCGGTTCACTCCGCTGTTGCGACCCCGGATTAATAAAGGGACTAAACCGACAAAAAAATGAATAAATGAATGAATGAATAAATAAATAAATGAAACTGAGAAGAAGAACTACGAATGTCTTCACTTTCACTTTGACACTTTTATTTTGGCACACTTAAAAACAGAACACTGACAGCCCACGTCTCTGAACTGAATTTCTTCTTCTTCTATTAGGGTTAATTGCAGTTGCTAACACAATTTGGAAGGTGCATCTCTGAACACAGTAACAGCTAAAAAGCGAGAAAGCTATCACATGGATATTAATGTTGAATGGTTCAAACCAACTCTTTCTCATGAAATAATGCTGAAATCTCAATGACATCACTGTGTTCTGGCTGCTACCAAAGAGCAGAGCTTAGAATCAACAAGAGGCGACAATAGAACGTTCCATTGTAACAGAAGCACCCAGGAACAGCCCATCGATTTCGCCATTTTGGAGTGAAAGCAAATGTCCGTGTATAGGATTTTATTGCTGTCGCGATGGCAAGCAGCTACTTTGTTTATTTGTTTATTTTAAAAAAGTGCATTAAAGCTGAGATACCACCTGAAAGATGACAATACAACACTTACTGTCACAATCATCAGCACTTTTAATAATTTATTTTACAGACTTAAAGTTTATATTTTAACTACCTATTTTCTAGGAACTTTCACTTTTAGGTGAAATTACTTTAAACTATTTTCCTTTAATAGTTTGAGCACTACATAATATAAATTAATACTGACATGTTCAATTAAATTACACTTTCTGTTGCAGTATTATATGTTATACAGGGCTCGAAATTGCGACCAATTTGGTCGCTTATGCGCCCGATATTTTATCTATGCAACCTCAAAATATATTTGGGAGCATTTTTGCGAGTGTATAAAATTGTTGTGTGCGACCAGTTTTTACTGCAAAATGTTTACCACATGCGTGGATTCGGGAGACATGCACGCAGAATCCATCTCTGCACTTGAAATGCGAAACGCATCACTTACTAAAGGTTTAAAACAGTTGTCATGTCAACTTGCTGCAGTAAACAAAGCCAAAACTGTAATGCTTGCCCTGCCTTCGCGCTCTTCTTATTGGCCCACCACTGCTCTAGCACTGAAATATCAGCTGTCAATCAATCAGTCAATGCCTTTTGGCTTGGGATGACAGAGTGCTACTACCACGAAAAACTGTTAAGCGCTGAAGATGAGAATGAAGATAACACTGACAGATTTTGTTTTAGAAACCATCTAGTTACAAATAATGACGCATCTTACTAGTGATCATGTGCTGAATGGTAATCCACAATCTACACTTTTTGAAGAGTGGATAAAAGACTTCCGTTGGCTTCAAGTCCACTATGAAAAGTCTGTGGGATGGAATTTTTAGTTCACTGTTTGCCAAATCTAGCACGCGAGCTTCAGTTTAATCCTTCATACAATCGCCAGATGCTGTCAGATATACGTCAAATTTAACACCACGTACACCATCGCAAACGGGCTTGCACTGACTAAACTAACATCGCTAATCATAAAAAGACCGGTATTGCTATTAACACGACGTATGAATATAATAAGGTACAGTAACAGTATGTGTCAAAAGCATCAGTGCAATATCAGACAGCACCCGTGAGAACAGCACAGTTATACCCTTAACAGATTCATTCATGTCAAACAGTGCGTGCAGGGCCAGTGAGCGCTCCGTGTATCTTT